GCTCTTCCTCACTGCCATACCCAAGTAACGGGACTGCACTGTGAACTTCCCCACCCTGGGGGGCTTTCTGGCTGGTCCCCAGCTCCTCCGGCAGCCCCGGTGCTCTCCCCTCCAGCTTGGTGCACCTCTGGGCAGCCTGTGCCTGCACCCCGGAGGTTCTTTGGCTCTCCTCGGCTCCTCGCTTCTTGCTCCCATCCTTCAAACATGACTCGTTCCACAGGAACCGCAGGGCCTTGCTCAGCTGCCAGCCCTTACGGGGGCGCGGGAGAAGGCAGAACCCAGCAATGTCCTCCTCCGGGTCCCCCACCGCTGGCTGCCGGGGGACAGCATCTTCCACGCAGGGCTGGGGACTGCTCTCGTGGAGGAGCAACCCCAAATCTGCTGCTTGCGAGGCTGCCGGCGAGGGGAGAGCCCCCTTCCGCTTGCTCTTCCTGCTTCGGAAATAGGCCATCACCCCAGAACCCAGGCAGGACACTGGGGGTCACTTCGCCTCCGCGGCACGGGGCGTTGAGGTAGCACCGGGGGATGCCGGTCTGTGGCTGGGGAGGAGGAGGAGGCAGCAGGAGGAAGGCAGAAGTCAGCCGGGCGTCTCGCAGGGGAGGATGGCAGCAAACAACAACCAAGATGGCCCCTCCTCCGGAGACGTCCCTTCTTCCGCATGCAGTGGGGCTGTGGGGAGCAGAGCGGGGCGTGAGGATTGGGGAAGGGGGGAGCCTGCACCCCCATTCCCACAGCCCCCACCCAGCTGGGGGGCCTGAGGGAGAGACCCTGCACCCCGGGCAGGCTGAGGGGAGCTGACACCCTGTGATCCCTGTGCCGCCAGGAGAGCATTCACCCGCGTGTCCCACCGCAGCCCTGGGTGAGCTTGCACCCCATGCACACGCGTGTCCTACACATGACCCCAGGGAAGCCTGCACCCCCCGCACACACATCTCATACACGGTACCAGGACAGTTTGCACCCCCGCACACACATCTCATACACGGTACCAGGACAGTTTGCACCCCCTCACACACATCTCATACACGGTACCAGGACAGCTTGCACCCCCGCACACACATCTCATACACGGTACCAGGACAGTTTGCACCCCCGCACACACATCTCATACACGGTACCACACACATCTCATACACGGACAGTTTGCACCCCCGGTACACATCTCACACACACACACATCTCATACACGGTACCAGGACAGCTTGCACCCCACTCACACACATCTCATACACGGTACCAGGACAGTTTGCACCCCTGCACACACATCTCATACACGGTACCAGGACAGTTTGCACCCCCTCACACACATCTCATACACGGTACCAGGACAGTTTGCAGCCCCGCACACACATCTCATACACGGTACCAGGACAGCTTGCACCCCCGCACACACATCTCATACACGGTACCAGGACAGTTTGCACCCCCGCACACACATCTCATACACGGTACCAGGACAGCTTGCACCCCCGCACACACATCTCATACACGGTACCAGGACAGTTTGCACCCCCCACACGTGTGTCTCACCCTCGGTCCCGAGAGAGCTTGCACACCCATGCGTGTCCCACACTCTGCCCTGGTGAACATGTCCTGACGTGTCCCCTCCACAGCACCCCCATGCACACACGTCCCGTACACAGCTCCAGAGCTTGCACCCCCGCGCACACACACGGGCCCCTCTCGTCCCTGGGAGCACCCGCACCCACAGCTCCCCTCCACAGCCTCGCACCCGCACGCACCCGCTCCCGTCTCCAGGCCGTGCCCCGCTCCGGTCCCGCTGCCCCGGGGCTGGCCCCCCCCCTCACAAGGGTGGGATCGGGGGGGGGGGGGCCCGCCCCGTCCCGCCCCGTCCCGCCCCTTTGCTGGGCGCCAACCGCGGTTCCGGGTCCTCGGTGACCCCCGCAGCAATGGGGGATGTTGCAGCTCGGGGTGGGGGAGAGGAGGGGATGGGGGGGGGGGGGTCCCCACTCAGCCCCCGCTGGGTGCGAGGCCGCGAGTAGAAAGTGGAAGCAAAGGGGGGAGGGGGGAATAGAGGAATAACGGAGTAAAGAGCCCCTGGGGAGGGGTGTTGGGTGCGCAACAACCGGCGAGGTTTTACATCACACACATCCCCCCCGGGACCGCAGCACCCGGGATTTGGGAGCCCCGGGTGGGGGCCCCGTTCTGCGCGGGATGTGCGGTGCGGTGCGGTGCGGTGCGGTGCGATGTGATGTGATGTGATGTGATGCCGGGGGCCACCGCGCCCGTCCCCGCGGCGTCCTGGCGCCGCGCACCGGCCGGCCGGGGGGCGACGGGAGTGCGGGAAGGAGAGGGGGGGGGGGGCACTGGAGGGAGGGGGGGCGGGCCGGGCCGGGCCGGGGCCGGTCCCGCCGGTTCCAGAAAGCTCCGGGGCCGAAGCGGGGCGGACCCGCGGCTCGGCGGCCGGATAAATAGGAGCGGGCGGGGACGGGCGGCGGTGCAGCTGATCGGGGTGCAGGTATGGCCCTTCCCCTTTTTCCCGTCCCGCTACCCCATCCCATGCTCTGGATGATGCCCAGGAAGGCGAGCCCAGCACTGTGCAGGGATGCTGAATGGGGCCAGAACCTCAAACTAAGGCTCATTCCATCCCTGACAGCTGAGGGACCTCCTGGCCCTGCTTCTCCCTGGGGAAACGCTTCATCCCTCTCTGACCTTCACACCTCTCCATGCCTGCAGTGCTGACGGGGAGTTCGCTGTGACCCACATGACGAAGGCCCACCTCTTCTCCAGTGGGAAGGTGAAGTGGGTGCCACCCGCCATCTACAAGAGCTCGTGCAGCATCGATGTCACCTACTTCCCCTTTGACCAGCAGAACTGCAAGATGAAGTTTGGCTCATGGACCTATGACAAGGCCAAGATTGATCTGGAGAACATGGACCACCACGTGGACCTCAAGGATTACTGGGAGAGTGGTGAGTGGGCCATCATAAACGCCATCGGCACCTATAACTCCAAGAAGTATGACTGCTGCACCGAGATCTACCCTGACATCACCTTTTGCTTTGTCATCCGTCGCCTCCCGCTATTCTACACCATCAACCTCATCATACCCTGCCTGCTTATCTCCTGCCTGACTGTGCTAGTCTTCTACCTGCCCTCCGACTGCGGGGAGAAGATCACCCTCTGCATCTCTGTCCTGCTGTCCCTCACCGTATTCCTGCTGCTCATCACGGAAATCATCCCATCCACCTCACTGGTCATCCCCCTCATCGGAGAGTACCTCCTCTTCACCATGATCTTCGTCACACTCTCCATCATCATTACCGTGTTCGTCCTCAATGTGCACCACCGCTCCCCCAGCACCCACACGATGCCACGCTGGGTGCGCACCTTCTTTCTGGACTTCATCCCTCGCTGGCTCTTCATAAAGCGTCCCCCAGCGCTGCCTCCCCCCGAGGGGCCCGTGGGGCAGTACGACCTCCCTGGGACAAGGCTCAGCACCTCCCGGTGCTGGCTGGAGACCGATGTGGATGACAAGTGGGAAGAAGAGGAGGAGGAGGAGGAGGAAGAGGAAGAGGAAGAGGAGGAGAAGACGTACCCCAGCCGCATATCCCAGGCGGGGTCCCACACCCAGGGCAACCAGTGCTGCTATAGCTGTGGGCAACAAGCTAGGAAGACATCAGGGGGGTTGCCCCCCCGGGTGCCCCCCAAGAGGGAGGAGGAGCAGGAGGGCTCAGACCAGGGGCTGCTGCTGTCCCCCAGCATCCTGAAGGCCCTGGAAGGGGTGCAGTACATCGCGGACCACCTGCGAGCAGAGGATGCTGACTTCTCGGTGAGTGGGTGCCCCGAGGGTTGGAGGGAGAGGGGGGTCCCCTGCCCTGGGTGCTGCCTCTTGCCATGCATACCTCCATGAAGGGGGGCAGTGCTGGGATTCCCGATTGGTTCCCTGGCTACTGAGGACCCAAAGCCACAGAGAAGATCAACAACCACCTCCTGGGAGATGCCCAGTTGAGGGCTCTCTCCGGCTTCTGTCCCTGCTGGATGTGAGGATGTCAGAGGTCCCTATTCTGCCCGTGGTATCCTGACCTTGGGGAGCAGACATGGCCCAGCCTTCCTGCTGGGACACAGCTCGGAGGCTGTACTCTGCTTGTTCCCAAATGGTTTCAGAAAACCCTGGGTGGGATTACCTCTGCCCCAAGCAGAGAGGTCCATCCCCCAGCCCAGATGCTCCAGGGGTTTCCCAAGAGGCACACAGCAGATGCAGAGGAAGCCCAGGGTGTTCTCCTAACCTCAAGGGGTCCTGCATCCTCTGCCCGTGTTCACAGCCCCTCTCTGCTCGGCAGGTGAAGGAGGACTGGAAGTACGTGGCCATGGTGATCGACCGCATCTTCCTCTGGATGTTCATCATTGTCTGCATGCTGGGTACCGTGGGGCTCTTCCTCCCACCCTACCTGGCAGGGATGATCTAGGGTCAGGCCAGGCTGCGGTGGGGATGGCAGAGAGTGGTGCCCACATCCAGCCTGACCCTGGGAGGACACGGTGGCAACCATGGAGGACCCCGAGATAGGAAATGTAGGGTGAAGCAGGGTCTGTGCCCTGGGGATGGTGGGGGATGGCTGCCTGCTATCCTGCCCAGGGCAGTTGCAGCCATTGCAGCGTTGAGGAAGGTGTGGAACAGCTTCCCCATTGCTTGAGTTCAAGCTGGAGGCATCTAAGAGAGTCATCTGCTTCCTCAAGCTGCTCCAAGTCCTACCGAAAACCCAAGAGCTGTGTCTGGTTGTGACTCCAGTGTGCTGGGCAAGAAGAGAGGACCTTACAGCCACTTTAGGACACGTCCTGACTGCAGGGTGTTTACTATGACAGGGTCATGTGGTCATCCATGATGTGGGGCAGGTGGTAACACTTCATGAAGAAGATCCATGAAGAAGGTCCATGAAGAAGTGGTGTGGTCCTGGGATGGAGGGCCCTGCTTGGACACATGGCATGGGGGTTGCAAAGCACAGCCCAGGCACAGACCCTCTGCAACCTGCCAGCACTAGTGGTTGCTTCCACATTTTCCCACAGATCAGATCCAAAACCACCTGGCTCCCATGACTGCTGCAATCCAGCTTTTAACCTCTAGCTTCCATATAACCTGAAGGACCCATACTTACCGAGCATCTACTCTCTTCTTATATGCCCCAAGAGGCACCAGATTTTCCTGCAATGCTTTCTGCTCCAGGAGACCGAGCCATCAGAGCACCAGATGTGGTCTGCAGGGGTTTGGAAACACTGTGCTCTCAGGAGTGAAATGGGCTGGAATAAATGATGCCACAGAGGGACACCCACATCCTGGGGGTGTTGCAGCTGCTCGTGTGGTCTCCAGTGCTGGCATGCTCCGGTGTACACAACTGGGATGGGATGTGTGAGAGAGCAAGTGCCCAGGCACAGCTGGATGTGTGTGGGTATGTGTGTGCATGTTTTTAACATGGTACATGGGTTGTAGTGCTCTGCAGAGCTCTGCTCTGCTCTGTTGAGATCCCCCCCCTGCAGTCCAGCATCCAGCTCTGGGGCCCCAACATAAGGACATGGAGCTGTTGGAGCGAGTCCAGAGAGGACACAGAGATGCTCCGAGGGCTGGAGCACCTCTGCTATGGAGACAGACTGAGAGAGCTGGGCTTGTTCAGCCTGGAGAAGAGAAGGCTCTGGGGAGACCTTAGAGCAGTTTCCAGTGCCTAAAGGGGCTGACAAGAAAGCTGGAGAGGGGCTTTTGACAAGGGCCTGGAGGGACAGGACAAGAGGGAATGGATTTAACCTGACAGAGGGGAGATCGAGATGAGACCTTAGGCAGAAGTTGTCCCTGTGAGGGTGGTGAGGCCCTGGCACAGGTTGCCCAGAGAAGCTGTGGCTGCCCCATCCCTGGCAGTGTTCAAGTCCAGGTTGGATGGGGCTTGGAGCAACCTGGTCTAGTGGAAGGTGTCCCTGTCCATGGCAGGGGGTTGGAACTGGATGAGCTTTAAGGTCCCTTCCATCCCAAACCATTTTGTGATGCTGTGATAAGATCATGGTTCAGTTCTCTTCTCTGGGAGCTGGGGGAGTCCACAGCCCTCAGACAAATTGTGAGCTCCACAGGAGGGAAATGGGGCTTCAGAGATGATGTGGATGCAGCAGACCCAGGTTCACCCCAGCAGCTCTCCCAGGGATGCCACCACTGGGCAAGCACTTCCCCATGATGGCAAGACAGCTCAGAGCTCTGAGCAGCACAACCCTTACTCTTTCTAAGGAGGTGCTGGTGACCAGGACTTGTCCCACTGTATGGGGGTGACAGGCAAGCACAGGCACAGCATGACTTTGTGCATGGTTTATATCAGCCAGAACGAACAACGCTGTGGGAAGTTGCTGGGGAAAAGCCCGAACCGTATGGTTTCCAACTCAAAGCACAAACCGAACGGAGACTTGGTTTGCCATCATTGCTTACACAGAGCAGCTTGGAGAAAACTCAGCTGGAAGAGGCACCGCTCTCCTGGTTTGTGCCACCGAAGGCTGTGGTCCATGGGGTCCCATCCCTCCCCATGCTCTGCAGGTTTAGGGCTGGGCGTGCTCCGGCCACGGGCGCTAGAAGCGGCTCTGCTATGGCGCACGGACCCGCTTCCCATCATTAAATAGACTCTTGTATACAATGTACAAGGAAATGCAAACAGTCCCTCCAGCCACCACTCCGGTGGCCCCTGGGGACTCCCGCGCAGCCCCCCACTCCCAGCAGTGGGGAGCAGGGTCCAGGTCCCCATCACGACATGCCGCCCGCGGCTGGCCATCCTTGGAGGGGCTGATGGACGGACACACGGACCTGCTGGCAGCCAAGGAGAAGAGCTGCCGAGCCAAAGGGATCTTCAGCCACCCTCAGGGATGGCCAGGTCCCCCCTAGCCCCTTCCATTCACCAGATGCCTCCCTTCTTCAGAAGACTGACAAGACGATGCTAAAGACACGAGCGGCTGCAGGAGGACAGGGACAGGAAGGGCAGGACGGCGAGGCAACGGGAGACACAAAAGCCAGCTCCTTTGCAATGCTCTCCCTCTTCTCCTTCCCCACCCCTTCTGCTTCCCTCCCTCCACCCCTGCTCTCACTCCAAGCACAGCTTCACCAGGTTGGCCTGGACCTTGGCTTGGTCCACAGCATCCAGGAGGTTCTTGGCATCCACAGCCAGGGTGTGGGAGGCCGTCAGCATCTGCCGCTTGCACTCCTCGCTCAGCGAGGTGATGGCGTTCTGCTGCGCCAGGCGCATCTTGTTGATGAGGTCAGCCAAGTCCTTGTTAAGCAGCTTCTGGGTCCCCTCGATCTGATCATGACACACAGGGGTTACAGACAGGGGTGCCACCAGCACATGACCCCATGCCAGATCCATTTCCCTCCTCCCTGGACCTACCTCAGTGCGGGAGGCAGCGGGCAGCACAGGCAGGATCTCATCGACACTGCCAATCAGCTTCCGCAGGGACAGGCCCACGTTCTGCCAAGGACACCAAGGGAGAGCAGGATGTATTGATAACTCTCAGTATTGACCCAAGGACCCAACGGAGGAGCAGGGCATGTTGGAAACCCTGCCATCATTGACCCAAGGATCCAAAGGAGGAGCTGGAAATATTGGAAATGCTCCCTCCTATATATGCAAGAACCTCCTGATATGGATGCTTGGTGGGAACCACTCAGCAGACTCATTCCCAACTCCCCTGTTCCCCATAGAAGCACTGATGTTGTCCCCTCCCTGTCCTCCCTACCTTCACCACGAGGATGTACCCCTCTGGGGGCAGGAGGCCGATCTCGTTCTTCAGCTGCAGCACAGCCCGCACCAGGTCCATGACATTGCTGTACACCATGTCATCTGTGCGGTCCAGGTTGGCAGTGGGGGCAGGGTGGATGGACTGCTGTGGAGCAGGGACAAATGGGATCAGATAGACCAAGGGGGCAAGGAGGGAAAGACCAAGACCTATGGGGAGCCCTGGCCAGACTCATCCACCTCCCACCCGTCACCCAGATGCTGCTGGATCTCTGAACCCCATGGGGCCTTGGGTAGTCAGAAAAGTGCCATCCTGCAGATGCAGGGGGATGATGGAGGTGGAGGAGGCACAATGAGGCTGTAGAGATGGAGGAGTAGGACTGGGACCATGGTGGCCCGATCCAGGGAGGTCTTACCTGTGCCCCGAGTCTTGGAGGCTTCTGGGGGGGCCCTGTGAACTCCGCTATGCCATCAGTAAGGGAAAGGAAGGAGAGTCACTCCAGCTGCTCCCAGTGACATGAGGGCATGATGCAAAACCCCTGGGACCTGTGCCACATCCCACACCGCCACGCAGCAGTATATCCTTGACCCATCCTGGTTGTTCCACCTCCCTGCAGGGTCAGGCCCCCCCCGGACCCCCATTCCTGGGACAAGCAGAACCCCCTCCCCAGGGCAGGCAAAGCTGCTCTCCATGATCTGGGATTTCTTTCATGGAGGAGCCCAAAGCTGGGAAGGATACAGCCCTGAGGCTCAGTGCAGGGCTCCCCACATGCAGCCCCAAAGCGGGTGCTCCTGGGTGGACAGCCCCACTCCCCATGCATCACTGGGCACTCACTGTAATCCATCTCCTTCTCCGGGAGCAGCTGTGGGGGGAAGAAACAGCAAATAAGAAGCACAAAGTCCTGGCTGGAAGCATCGCCATCCCCTCCCAGGGCTTCTGGTGAGGAGCTCCGCACCACCAGTAAGCCCATGGACATTTGCAGATTCATTTTCCCAGTGCAAAGGGAATATATGTAAGTATTTATCCTCCTTCCATGCCAAAGCAAATGAGGATCTCCAGACACCTCTAAAAGAAGGAGCCCCTGCACCCAAATACACCCTTAACCTGGGTTCTCCAGGGATGGCACTACTCACCAGAGGAGCGTTGTTGTTCATAAACACTGTTGGGTCCTGCAAAGGGGGAGAAGCTTTGTGAGAGGTGTGGGAAAAAAAGGAAAAACAGAGGAAAAAAGGGATTTTCCTGATTTCTGGCTGACCCACGGAACACATCACAGGAATGCAACTCTGCAGGGTCTGGGAATGCAGGCGGGGAAGGGGGTTTATGCCTATTGCTGGTCCCATCTCCATCCCACCCCATCACTCCTATCTGACCCCGCCTGCTCCTGGGGCACCAGAAACTCAGTGTGCTGCTCAAACCCCCTCGAAGCTTAATTCAAGAAGCTGTGTGCAGCTGCTCAGGGCAGAGGGGAGCTGGGCTTTGCTTTATCAACTGCACAAGTCGATTGAATAAAGATTTTCAGCCTCCTTCCAAGCCTGTTTCACCACTAGCTGATGCATTAATCACGTGTTAGCTATCTTCAGTCCTGACTTCAAAAGCATTATGAAATCTCATTAAGACATGATTGAAAGCATTTAAAAGTTGCCCAAGTCTCAAAATATCCACTTTGAAATGAAGCAGCTCTGTGACATCTTTATCAGGGGTGCAAGAGGTTTGGCTGCTGGAGGAGCTGTTCCTCCAAGGAAAACCGGGTTTTCCAGCCATGAAGAGCAACCTCATTGCCTGCAGTGGCTCTTTAACCACCTTCACAACAGTGCAAGACCTGGGAGGCCCCAGCTCGTGGCCACTCACCAGGGACTTCTCCTCCTGCCGCAGCCACTGGTAGTCCTCCACCATCTGCTTCTGCTGTTTGTCCAGGACCTGCCGCATCTTGAGCCTCTCCATCTCCCAGAGCTTCTGCGCCTCCTCCCTGCTGCTGGGACGGAGGAAGTCTTCCTCCTGGTGTGCAGAGACAGTGGTGATGGGGGGGCCTCAAGGAGCCAGAGCCCCCCACCCCTCAGTTTTGGCACAGGAGCCAGAGCCCCAGTCTGCGCATGCAAGCCATGCACCAGAACCCAACAGCCATGAACACCCAATCTGGGGAGCACTTGGGTTTCCAGCAGGGAGAGGAAACTACGAGCTGGCCCCACATTTGCCACCACCGCATCCCAGCCACCCCAGGAGCAGCTCAACATAGAGGCACTCAGCAACGTGGCTGTCTTAGCGTGACAGGCAGAGCATCACAGGATGCACCCCAATACCCAGCTTATTCAGGGATAGAATAGCCAAGCTTGGGCTACAAACCACCAGTGGCATTTCAGGTGACAACACCGAGCATGAGGAGGTGACCCAAAGCCCCAAGGAGTGGCAGCCACCTATCCCTTGCTTGGGTTTGGGGACACAGTGCCAGGCGCTCATCCATCAACATGCCTTCACAGGGATGTGCGTGCAAACATGCAGAGCATGGGGCTGGAGACACCCTGGAGCCCTTCACAGGCTTGATCCCTCCAGCCCACAAACAGCACCCGTGGGGTGACAGGATTTGTCCTTCCTACAGCAAGATCAGAAGCAACACAGAGCTTGAAGCATTGGAGGCAGCAGCACGAAGCAGCGTGTGGTACAGCAAGCATCCCTCCTGCAAGGTCCCCGGTGTGCCTGGGATGAGGCCACCCAGGACCGGGATATCCTCTGGATGATGCTGGATGGGGGGATCCCTCTCTTACCCTCATGCTGTGGCGCTTCAAGACATTGTGGCGGTTGAGTGGTGGGGTGTGCAGGGAGTTGGCTGGAGACTGGTACTCGATGGGGCTGGTGAGCGTAGGGGAGCTGGCACACAGACCCTCGGGCACCTGCGGGCGGGCAGCGGGGGGTGCAGGCACAAAACAGGGCCACGGAGGGTTAGGTTAGTGCAAACAGACAGAGCAGACAATGTGGGGGAGAGCAGCTTTGGCACCAGGAACAGCCTTTGCCCTCATGCCTGTCTGTGCTGCAGGGATCAGGACGGTCCTCCCTGCTCAACTCTTTCTTGCACTGAGCATGGGCTTGAGGCCTCCTGCACTGCTGCTGGACCCCTACCCAGCCTCAAAAGAGCACCCAGATTAGTTCATAGGATCATGGAATGGTTTGGGTTGGAAGGGACCTTAAAGCTCCTCCAGTTCCAACCCCCTTCCATGGGCAGGGACACCTTCCACTAGACCAGGTTGCTCCAAGCCCCATCCAACCTGGCCTTGAACACTGCCAGGGATGGGGCAGCCACAGCTTCTCTGGGCAACCTGTGCCAGGGTCTCAGCACCCTCACAGGGAAGAACTTCTGCCTAATGTCTAACCTATATCTCCCCTCTGTCAGGTTAAAGCCATTCCCCCTTGTCCTGTCCCTACAGGCCCTTGTCAAAAACCCCTCTCCAGCTTTCCTGTCGGCTCCTTTAGGCACTGGAAGCTGCTCTAAGGTCTCTGTGGAGCCTTCTCTTCTTCAGGCTGAACAAGCCCAGCTCTCTCAGCCTGTCTCCATAGCAGAGATGCTCCAGCCCTTGGACCATCTTCACAGCCCTTCTCTGGACTTGTTCTTGAGAGCTTACCCAGATGCTCCAAGGACCAGCAATGGTCCTTGCAGAGGCCAAATTCAGCCCAGGTAGCACTAGAGAGCAGCAAACCTCCTCTCCTGTCAGCACTATGTACAAACTTGCCAATGCCAAGCCTGAAAACCCCCCTTCCCTGGGGTGAGAGCCTCTGCCAGCTCCAAGGGGCGGACAAAACAAAGGTCAGGCAGGGCAGGACAGGGCTGAGCCCCCAGTGGTGCAGTGTCCTACTGGCAACATGGTGGAAGGCACTTGGTGATGGTGCAGAGCACCTTTGATCCCCCAAAGCCATAAGCCCCTGAGGGCTTGGGCTCCAGACAGGGTTTTCTGGTGTTGACCCCTTGTTTATGTTCCGGAGGGATGCTTTGGCCATGCCACCTTACCTGGAACTGCAGCTTGGGAGCCAGGAGATTGCTCTGAGGTGGTGGCTTGTACCTGGGTCTGCTGGGCTGCAGGGTGCACAGGAGGCAGAAATTCATGGTGGGTGCGAGCCCAGGGAGGTCCCCCTTCTGCAGCACCCACCAATGGGTTGAGGCATGGAGATGAACCTGCCTGCATGGGCTCTGCCCTCTGCTCACCTTTGGAGGTGGCTCCTGCAAGGATGGCGGCTCCATGATTTTGGGAGGCCGGTGGCGGTTGTTCCTCTCCTGGTCCTTGGCCAGCTCCTTCTCCATCAGGTAAATGTCACTGCACAGGGGGAGATGGAGAGACAGACCCCGGAGGGTGCTTTGCCACATCTCCCATACCCCAGAGACCGAAGATGCTTGAGATGGATGGGCCATGGAAAACACGAGGGAGCAAGGAGGGATGGGAAGAGCAAAGGGAAAGGACTGGGAGGACATAGCTTGGTCCTGGCTGGACACACCAGCATCACCAGTACCCCTGCAAGACCCTTCCATGGGAAGCAAAGTGTTTCCACTTCAGCGCAGGCACTACCACCCCTCAAGGCAGGTGGGCTCAAATGGTCTGAACAGTTCTTTGAGTTCAGGCTTGTCCAGAAAACACCAGACCCAGAATCTTGCCCAGCATCATTTTCTCCTTCACTCACTTGCCCACCCCTCCATCAAACCATCCGCCCCCCCAGCCCATCATCATCATCAGTCCCCTGCCTTCCCGCTCACCTCAAGCTGCAAACCAAGTCCTTGAACTTGGGCCTTTCACTGGGGTCGTAGTCCCAGCAGCGCGTCATGAGTGTGTAGAGGATGGGGGGGCAGAGGTCAGGCTTGGGCAGGCGGTCTCCCCTCTCCAGCACTCCTATCACATCCTTGTTCTCCAGCCAGAAGAAGGGCTGCTTGCCATAGCTGAGGATCTCCCACATGCACACAGCTGTGGGAACAAGAACAACCTCAGACGATGCTGAAACTACCAGTGCCATGCTTGTGGTTTTGGGGACCTGGTGACAGTGTCATGCTTTGCTGTGTGACTCCAGGTCATTTGGCTCCTTGGCCATCCTGATAGGGATGGACAGACACCAGGGGCTGTGGGATGTGCGCATAGGCAGCAGGATGGATTATTTGCAGGGAGCAGAGTTTAACTCAGCCCCACAACATCCTGAATTCACTGAAGGAGGAGGATGTTCCTAGCTAGCACCTAGCGATGGTTGAGTGGGAGGAAGCTCTGCCCAAGGAGCCCTTTCTGCAAGGGCAAGGCTGGGCTAACCCCCCTGCTCCAGAGCAGGATTTGTCCCTGTTCAGTGAGACGATGCCACAGGAGGTGGATGAAGCCCAGGATCCCACTCTGTCCCTGTCCCACCACGCTCCATCCCTGTCCCAGCCACGCACCAAACATCCAGACGTCACTGGCCGTCGTAAAGCGTCGGAAGTTGATGGACTCGGGGGACATCCACTTGATGGGGAGGCGAGTGACGGACGCTGGAGGGAGAGATAGGACAGTGGCAGTGCTCAGAGCAGGAGGGCACCGTAGGGAAGCCAGGTCTCAGCATAGTCCCTGCCCCAGCTCTTTTGTTGCAGGGAGTCCCATTGTGCGCCAACTCTGCCGTCTGCTCTACCCTCACAGGGTTGGAAGAAGCCCCAGCTCCATCACACAGCTCTTACCTTTATAGTACTCCTCATCCTCAATGTACCTGGAGAGCCCAAAGTCTCCCAGCTTCACACATTCTGGGGAGGCCACCAGGACGTTCCTCACAGCAATATCCCTGCAAGGAGAGAGACCCTTGGCTGGGGAGAAGGGATGGAGAAGGACAGCTCGCAAAAAGGGTCTGCAGCAAAGGATGCTGCCAGCCTCAGCCTCTGCCTGCTCCTGCTGCCCACCTGCATGTCCCCCATGGCCCCTGCCTTCCCTGCTATCCCAGCATCCTGCCCAGCTCCTTTTCACTCCTGCCCTACCTGTGCACGCAGTTGATGGCCTCCAGGTAGGCCAGAGCTTTGCTGATCTGCAGTGCGTAGAGGATGAGCACGGGCACAGCGAGGCAGTGCTTGTTCTGCTCCAGGTACTGCCCCAGCTGCAACAGGACAAGCAACAGGGACTGAGCAGGGGCAGGAAGGGTGGCAGGGGAACAGGATAGGTTCCAGTGTCAGAGCCCCTCTCACCTCTCCATAAGGATAGAGCTCCATGATGATCCAGGTGGGCTCCTCTTCTGCGATGCCAATGAGCTTCACGATATGGGGATGGTCCAGCTTCTTCATCAACACTGTGGAAAGACCACATCAGCCACCCTGCAATGGTGGGGACTTCCCTCTTCAGGAGCCCCAAACTCTGTCCTGGGGTGGAGGGGCAAGTCTCTCCATGAAGCTGGAGACAGAGCAGGAGGAATTCCTAGTAACAGCCTCCTGCTTTCCAGCTTCGGGATCTCCATCCAGCTGATGGATGGATCCAGCTTTTCTCCCTGCCCCTGTAGCTATCCCTCCCATAAACCAGGTATTTTGGACATCAGCCCTGTCACAGGGGCTAGGGCATGGGCCACCTCCCTCCTGCCCTATCCTGCATTGTATCTCCAAGCAGGGACCAGATGACTCCAGGACATGGTTTTGTCTCTAACACTCCTCCACTGCAGCGCTGCAACCACCACACTGGTCCTCTGCCTCACTGTGTGAGCCCTGGTGGGGATCTGAGCAGGCTCTGCCCCCACCGAAGGGCATACCTGCTTCACTCAGGAACTTGTCCTTGTTCTCCGGGCTGCAGTCCTTCTTGCAGGTCTTCACAGCCACGTTAATCCTCTCCCCTTTCTGCAAGGAGAAGGCAGGGTGACGGCTGCGTTACCCCACTCCCCCCAGCCATGGAGGAGGCAGGCAGGGCAGGGAGAGGGAGGACGCTCACCGGGGTGGTGTAGATCCCCTCATAGACCTCTCCAAAGAAACCTTCTCCAAGGATCCTGCCCAATGTGATGTCCTCACGGGAGATCCCATAGTGCTGGACTTCATGGACAGGGAAACAGGGCAGAAGCAGCAGTGAAGCTGCCTGTACCCCTGCCCATTCCAGGGGCAGAGCCCCCATGCTAAGCAGGAAATGGTGATCACCGGGTACCCATCCTCCCATCACCCCCTCAGCAAGGGTCCACAGATCCTGTCCCATGGCACAAGGGGGGATCCCAGGTCCTTCAGCCCCTCACGGTGGTAGGCCAGGTAGTGCAGGCAAAGGTGGGCAGGGCAGGTGGGGATGGGATGGGAGGTTGGGGTAGGCAAGAGGAAGTGGGAGGACTTGGATGAGATGTTGACGAGCTAAAGGGCACCCAGGGGGGTGGCACCTACCTCCAGACCTTGGTCTTGAGGACTCATCAGGGATTTCACAATAAATATCAGAGTCTGGGGCAAGAAGGAGGTTGCAGGCAGGGATTCAGGCAGCTCACCAAGGTTCTTGCATCCCAATGGAGTCCAACCAACCCACAAACACGAGGGCCTTTGGGATGCCAGTCTGGCCCTCCCCTAGGATGCTCAGCTGCATCGTGACCCCCCAGGCAGAGGGCTGGGGGTGTCCATCTCCACCAGACCCCCAAATCCCTGGACACTGTTGTCCCACAGACCTGCCGGCATCCCCTTGGCTGGTGGGAAGGGAAGAGCTGAAAACTCACCCATGCTCATGCTGTCTGACAGTGTGGACTGCCTCTCCTCCAGGTGCCTGTGGGACAGAAGGAGGTCAGGGTGAGGGAGCAAAACAGGGTGCAGGATGAGGTCCCAGCCCTGCTCTGGGGCCAGGCAGTACTCACGGGGCTGGGATCTGCGGCAGGCTGATCCTCTTCTCCCGCTCTGTGGAGAAGACAACAGACAGTCATCTCTCAGCCACCCCATCACAGCCTGAGGGGTGCTGGGCCCCCCTGCAACACCTCGATCACATGTGCAGTGAGTTTGATGGGTCTCAGCTGGGGTCGCTCCAAAGCCATGGGTGACACTGTGGCCATGGAGAATGCAGACTGGGGACATGAAGAGGGACCCTGCTGGGGTCAGTGTCCCCCAGGGTGCTCACCTCTCCTGGGGAAGATGATGAGGGAGGTTTCCAGGTCCCCTTGCAGCCGGCAGTAGCCATCAATGAGGTCAGCCATGTTCTCCGCCTCAGCCAGAGAAGCTGTCTTGATAGCCAGGGACTGGGGGAGATAGTAGGGATGGGGGACAGGTAAGCCCAGAGCTGGGGCAGGGGGCTGCTGGGATGAGGGACAGCCTCCCCTGAGCCAAAGCTGGAGGCAGGACCTCTCTCTGTGGAAATGGAGGTATCCACCAAGTCCTGCCCTGCCCGCAGGGATGCGACACCACCCCACGGCACCAGGGGATCCCCCATCCCAGCACCCCCTCAGCTCCCTAGGCACCCTCCCAGTGCCTCCTCACCTGGGGGGTGCCGCTGAGCCCCAGCTGCAGCACAGCCCGGCCCTCTTCCACGCTGGAGCACTTGATGGACTTGATGTGCTTGAATTCAGCCAAGCACGTGGGCTGGGGAGAGGTGTCAACTTTAACGACCAGTTTAAGAGCAGCCAACCCCGCTCCCCAGCCAGCACACAATGCATGCCCATACCTTGGCCTCTTTGCTCGTCATCTGCCGAATGCCCTTGGGTCCAATGACCAGATCCACTGTGATGTTCCACCCTTGCTGAGGGTAAAAACAGAGGGAGGATGCAATTTGGGTGGGAAGACACCAAAAGGCAGTTTTCCCCTCAGCCTGCTGCAATGTGGGAGACACCTTGGGGGAAAAACAGCTCCCCAGAGGAACTTAAACAGAGGATGGTTTGGAAAGCAGATGGTGGATGGTACAAGGCAGGGAGCCCATTGCAGGTGTTCTTCCTCTTCCTGGCCCCAAAGGGGTTCCCAGCACTCCTGGGTTGACACCTTCTCACCCCAAAGGGGTTCAGCAAACTTCAGGCACTGGCTCATACCCCCCAGGCTTGGACCCTGGCATGTGGAAGGTCCCCAGAGCCCCCACCACATCCCCAGACCCTCTCAGCTCACAGCATCCTCCAAAGATAAGCCCCCAGAGCCTTCCCCACAGGGACCCCTCTGAGTTGGGGGTGGCCAAGTCCCCATCCAAGTGTGGGAACCATGGCAGGGAGCAGCCCACAGCAGGGTGGCTTTGTCCACCCATCCTATCCTATCCCATCCCATCGCACCCCATCCCACAGATCCCATCCCACCCGGCAGACTCACAATGAGCTCGCAGCGGTAGCTCTCCTGGTCAATGTTGGCGAAGCTGGCAAGGGTGTGGAGGAACTTGAGGATGCATTCCTCCTCCCGCAGCAGCGCGTACTGCTGGAAGGTCTGCTGGATCATCTTCCGGAACTGCTTGGGCTGCGGGCACAGCGGCCGCTGGGAACACCGGGCACAGGCCGGGCACGCAGCGGGAATGTGGGGTGCAGAGGGTGCACATGGACACAGGCACACACGGACACAGTCATATGCATGCACACATTCACCTGCAGATGTGAACCTGCATCCATGCACATCCACACTGTGTGCAGGTCCTGCTGCCTCCATGTGTGTGTGCTCCTTTACATGTACACAAGTGTGGGCAGATGAGTGTGTGCATACGGGTGCACCAACACATGTGAGCACATGTGCCTGCATGCATGCAGCATACATATACATGCACATATGCACATGCATGCACATACACCTTCACATGTGTGCAGACATGCCTATACATATATACACACATGCACACGGGTATGTGTATGCAGATATGTCATCACATGTGTGAGCACAACCGCACGTGTGCACAAGTGCGTGCACTTTGAGGTATGCACATGAGCACTCCCAGCCAGGCCTGTGCACGCTCACCCACCCTGCAGCCATGCACCAGCCTGCACGTGCCCACACACGGTCCTCACCTTCAGGTTCTCCTGCATCTGCCTGGGGAAGAAGAGGTCCAGACCCACCTCCTTCCTGGGGATCAGAAACCCCCCATGCACATTAATAGCCCCGTGGGATCCCTGCTCTGAGTCTGCAGAGCAGTGGGGGGGGATGAATCAAGGAAAGTGGGTGCTGAGGGGGAATGGGGTGTTCTGGGGGAGAAATCTCCCCCATAGATCAGGGTGAAAGGTTCCCATCTCCCCTTCTGTGCACAGGGCAGATGGCTGTGGGAGGATGAGGAGATGCACAAGAGTGAGGAAAGCCATCTGCAGATCCACATCCCCTCAGGATAGAGTGGGGGATTCAGGGATAAGGGGGTTTCTGCCCAGCAGGACAGGCTGTGCCTACTCACTCCAGGAACTCGAAGTTGGATTTCTTATCCAGAGCATTCTGAGGCATGTCCTTATAAAATCTCCTGTGAGAAGGGAGGGACATGAGAAACCCACCTTGTGCTCGCATCCCTCCATCACATCCCTCTGCCACATCCCTCCACCATGGCAAAGAAAGAGCAGGAAACTTTCCTTCTCCTGCAAAAGCCTCCACAGCCCCACTCCTGCATCCTCCCCAGCCCTCCCACTGCAGGAGATGGGTCAGGACAGAGCGAGGTACGTACCTGAGCTCAAGGCAGCCCAGCTGCAGGGCCATGCCTTCGCTCACCTTGCTGGCGTAATTCTGCATGTACTCGCTCCGGAGCTGCCAAGGAGATGAGGGAGTCAGGAAGTGGAGGGGATGCTCCCAAGGGATGCTGTCAGGGATGCTTACAGGAGATGATGGCAGGGGATGCTCCCAAAGCATGCTCACAGGGTCCATGCCCTTCTGCATCCCACACTGGGATGCAGTAGGGACAAGAGAGGGGTGAAGGGGTTGGAACTGTCCCTGATGGAGATGTACAGGTCTAGCAAGTGGGATGGGACCACAGGGTGTGGGTGAAGGTAAATGGGCTGTAAGGTTCTTGGGGCTCTTGGGAATCATGTTTTCTGGGTTGGAGAGGAGGAAACACCCTCCTGGAGCTGATGGGTGGCTCAGGGGGGTTGCAGAGCAGACTTGGTCGGGGCTAGGAGATCCCCAGGGCCACCCCTGACCTGCTGGTAGAAGTAGAGCAAGGTGGTCCTGTCCTCTTTGAAGCGTTCTATGAAATCCTCTGGCAGATAGCGGATCTGGAGATCATACCTGGCAACAGAAGAGCCCCCGATGAGGACCAGGCTGGAGGAGCTTTCCCTCTAAGGGGACTTGGGTTTGGGACACAGAGAGGGACAGCACCACCACAGGTCCTACCTCCACTCAGCCTCCAGGTGCAGGCACTCGTACTTCTCCTGCACCTCTCCCACTGTGAGGTCCGGGTGCAGCCAATGGATCTCATCTGACTTCACGTGTTTCAGCCGCAGCCCATAGCACTCAGCCAGCTTGATGTCAGGCCCGATGCGGCCACTCACCAGGATGGACCTGATCACCTCCTGGGGTGGAAAGGAGCAGGGCTGAGACCCAAACATCCCTGGCCAGGCTCCAGAGGAGCTTTGGAAAGCAGGAAAATGAGCAGGAAATACAGTACAACTGCAACAGAAATGTCCCTGGAGTGAAAACACAGCCCTGGGGCACATCCACCTGCCCCAGTGGTATCCATGCAAAACCTCCAAAGATGCCTCCTGCTTGATCTGCAAGAACCCACAGCCTGAACACAGAATCACAGAATGGTTTGGGTTGGAAGGCACCTTAAAGCTCATCCAGTTCCAATCCTCTGCCATAAGCAGGGACACCTTCCACTAGACCAAGTTGCATCTCCCTTGGTGGACACTGTCCCTGCAGCACCCAAGCACAGAGCCACAGCTGGTCCCCAGTGCCCATACATCTTCCCCCAGCTGGAATGCCACAGCGTTCCAGGTAGGAAGGATGAGGAGGACATTGCTGGCCCAATGCCACCATGACCATGATGGAAAGGCACCAATATCACCTTCATTGTACTCCCAGCCCCATGTCTGCACAAGCAAAGGGCAGATGTTGGGTGCGGAAGTCCCACTGGGATGAGCAGAAGGACCTGGGTTCTGGCTGGCAGGACAAGAGCTGCTGCTGGGCACAGAGCTGGGTGCTTTGGACTCCCCATGGTTGCCAGAGATGGCCAAATTTTCTGTGTCCTCCAGGTTTTGGTGTTTCTCAGCCACAGGGCTCTGGAGGCCACCAATGCCATGGGAAAGGGTGTCTGGAAGGGAGCTATCTCTGATGCTAGGCAGAGAAAACAGCCCCCCATTCCCTGCCCCATCCAACCCCCTGCCCACGTACCCGGATCTCCGTTGTCACAGGGCACTTCACCAGCTTGAAGTTCTTGCCCATGTTGATGCTGTTGCTGTAGAAGCAGACCTTGAGGATGCGCATCTCCTCCTTGTCGATCTCCAACGTCCCCATGCCTATGGTGGCCTCCAGCGTCCCGGCCAGGCTGCGAGAGGAGCTGCTCCGTGGGCGACCCAGTGCCTCGGGGATGGTGGACATCCTCAGCACACCTGGGGTGCTAGGAGCTGAGCATCCCTTCCCTGCGGGAGAGACCGTGGGGAGTCACCTGTGGGGTGGGGAGAGGGAGGGTGGGGTACAGACAGCAGGGACACCCCAGGGAGGGTGGGGAAGGGAAGGGATGGAGAGGTGGAGATGGATGGAGGTGGATAGAGATGGACAGAGAATGTAAAGTAAGAGAGAGTGTGACAGAGGTTGTCATCCCTTTCACAGCACCTCCTGGCCATGCATGGCCACTGTCACCACCAGGACCCCAAGGCCAGCTCATCTGAGCCAAACCTTGTGTCCTTGTCACCTCCAGAGCAACACCTCTGTGTCCCCATCACCAACAAAGCAACACATCTGTGTCCACAGCACTCACCATTTTCTCCCCCACACATGAAACCTGGGTGAAGGTTTCAGGCTGCAGCTTCCCACCACAGACACCTGCAGCTGCAGTTCAACAATGTGACCCCTCAACCAAGCTGAATTTAGCAGAGAGCTTTGGAAAAAAACAGTAAAAAGCACAATGGGGCAAGCAACCAGTTCCCTTCTCCCCTGCAAGGAGGATACTGATTTATATTGATTTGTTCTTTTATTTTTAGAGGGATAAAACCCTCTGAACCCCAAAAATGTCATTTGAGCCGCAAGGGAAGAGGCTTGAGCTCTCCCTCTGCTGAGAATAACAATTAATGTGGCGTGTTGTTGGAAGATCCAAATGGATCCAAAATTACCCTCTTTGTGTGGCTTTCAGGTTTCAAGCTGGGCAGGGCTGGCACAGAGGAGGGATTGCTCCAGGTGGCTTTCTCCACCTATCTGGACATGCAACTGTCTGAGGCCAGGCAAACTCAGCTCGCATAACCCCCAAAGAGGAAAGGAGCTTGTCTCAGCCCAGCCACTGGCTTCCTGGGAATGCACAGGGCTTTGCAAGGAGTGAAAACCAGCCAGCACAGACAGGTGCATGGGATGGATCCAGGTCTGCAAAGAGCTGCTCCAAAGTCATCTTTATGGAGCATGAAATCAACAAGAAAGGTGGAAGTTCACCCGTTAGGGTGCTCCTCAGCTAGAGCCCCACCTGAGCTCAGGCTTTGGGTTACTGATTAAACAGCTGAGAAGCTGTTTGCAAACAGGAGCATTGCAGCTCTCGTGTGTCACACCAGGTCTGCTACACGGAAATGTCTCAGCATGGTACAGGGATTCCTGGCAAGGCTGGAGGCAGTTTAAAGCCACTCCCCCTTGTCCTGTCCCTGCAGGCCCTTGTCAAAAGCCCCTCTCCAGCTTTATTGTCAGCCCCTTTAGGCACCAGAAGCTGCTCTAAGGTCTCCCCAGAGCCTTCTTCAGGCTGAACAAGCCCAGCTCTCTCAGCCTGACTCCATAGCAGAGGTGCTCCAGCCCTCAGAGCATCTTTGTGGCTTCCTCTGGACTTGCTCCAACAGCTTCATGTCCTTCTTATGTTGTTGTCCTAGAGCTGGACACAGGCTTGGGGGGTGTCTCACCAGAGCGGAGCAGAGGGGGAGAATCCCCTCCCTCGACCTGCTGGTCATGCTGCTGGTGATGCAGCCCAGGACAATGCTGGTTTCTGGGCTCAAGCGCACACTGCTTGGTCGTGGTGAGCTTCTCATTGACCACCAGTCAAACAGGATCAGAGCATCCTTCACTTCACCCATGATAACACAGCCCAACCTTGCTGCCAGCTGCCTTGGCACTGGACCTCTACAAAACCAAGTGGGAGATGGCAAGAAAAACACACAGCAAGGACCTTCTGGCAGAAACCTTTCCCCAGCCTGGCCACTGAGGTTTTCTCTCCCCATTCCCCCATTTCCCCTTCCTCATTGGATTTGCACCATCATTTGCACAGAGCTTAGCGGCAGCTCCACTGTAATTACAGCCTGGTACAGTCCTGTGCGCTCACGGGATGCTGTGTGCTGCCTCCCGCGAGCTTTGGCTTTTTAAAGCAACTCTCCTGAGTCACTGCCCTAAAAATAAGCATGGCGTAGCCTGGCACTTTCAGGTCTGTACAAAGGGGTTTGCCAGCAGCGGTGCAACATGTGGATGGTGCAGACTTTGTTTTCCAGGTTTCTCTGAGGGAACAGGGAATGAAGCTCTGCATCTCCATGACTGCGATGGAGCATCACTACGACAGTTAACAGGATGCTGGGATGTTAACCCTGGACCTGAGCAAGACTCAGGCCAGCAGCGAGTCCAGCCACACCAATGGTCACACGCAAGTGAGTGAATATGCATCTCACACTGGTCTGGGGGTTTGTTTCACAGCAGTGTCTCAGCCTGCACAGTCAGGACTGTGCAGCAACCCACATCCTTTGCAGAACATCTTGATGATCAGCTCTCTGCTGATGCTCTTTTTAGCCAAGACCAGTTCTCATGCAAGCTCCAAAGGCTGGCTGAAGTGAGGACGACCACAGCACCCCCTCTCTCCATCCCGTCATCAGCCATGACGGTGGGGTGAAGGTGAAGATGAGGCCAACACTGCAATCAATATCATGGATGCTCCATCCCTGAGTGACACCAACCCACGGACTGCGTCCACATTACGGCTGTCCAGCACTGCAGTGTGCTAGACAAGTGTTTCCACTTCAACCAGGCTCAACCAGCAACAGGGTCAAGCAAAGCCAGCAACTCCCTCATCCCAGCTCAGCAGCACACACGGAAACGCCTCCCTTCAGGCTTTTCTGCATCTCGCTGCTCTGCAGCAGATGCAGAACCTAAAGAACTTCTCCTGCAGAAATATCTAAAGTAAAGGTATTTCCACTAAATAGCTCAAAAATGAACCCTACATCCTCTGGGTTTCAGAGGGGCCATCCTGGGGTTGGTGAAGTGGGATGATGGCCCAAGCCAGGCCCGGGGAGGGGGAACCCAGGTCTCAGCAGAGGGGGGCAGTGGCTGCCTTCACAAGTGTGCTGGCATTTCTCAGGGCACACAGACCAAAAATATTTTGTTTTGTCTCTTTTTTCTCACTTTCTACTTTCTTCCTCCAGCCCCATTCCCACAACGCGTCCCCGCACACTCTCGGTGAGCCCATGGGGCCAGGGCAAGGGATGGATGTCCCCTCTGTGTCCCTACCCTGATGAGAGGAATGCAGGGAGCATCCTGCAGGAAGCATCCCTGACCATCACAGTCAGACAGGGCTGGAGGCAGCTGGCATAAGCAAGAGCAGGTCCTGCGTCTCAATGTCTCCTCAAGGCCAGCATGGACAATGGGGGATGGCTCCATCCCTCCAGCAGAGCACCCCCCAGCCTTGTAGTCCCTCCATGTGCCAAATGCCCATTCCAAATAAAGCCAGGAATGCAGTAAAGGAGCGCCTGCACCCTGCCTGCACCGTCGTTGCACAACGCCTGGGGGCATATCGCTGTGCCGTCTGGCTGGAGGGGACGTGTCCCATATGGACCCAGCCATACTCTACCTCTCAGTTTTGGGGCTGGAGAAGGGGCCATGGCCACAACCTGAGCCCCTTGAACCTCCACCCTCTGCCCACGCAACTCCCCTCTGGCATGGGGCTGCTTCCCACGGGACCCTGTCTCTGTCCCCAGCAGGCACAGTCATGTTGGATGCGTGACACAGTCCCAGCCCAGACACTTCCTACTGCGGCTGACAAGTGTGCGCAGAGGCATTTGCATAGCACCCAGCAGGCCGGGACCCCAGGCTGGGTGGTCCCAGCAGGGCGCTGGATGAAGGCAGCAGGCGGTGCTGGCATCTCACATCCCCTTGTCCTGCAAAGCCAAGAGCCTGGGTCCCACCAAGCAAAACACAACCCCAAAGCGGCTGTGCCGAGGGGAATCCAACCCAAGGACATGCAGGGAGCAGGGGATGGGGTGACCTGAAACTTACCCTGACCACCAAGGGGGGTCTCAGCTGCCAGATCAGCCCATGTGGTCCATCACCTCTCATACCAGGACCTGGCACATCCCACCCCAAACCGTGCTGCCCCTTCTTTTGCAGCCACCAAGATGAATCCAGGCTCCATGCAAGGAAAACACACCCCCAGGAGCCACCTTGTCATGGGGACTCCAGCCCAGAATGAGTCACCCCAGGAAGCAGCATTCCTCAATGGCAGGCGACAGGTAAGGCAGGGCACAGCAGGCCCTTCCCTATCTATGCAGGTATTTAAATGACTCATTACTTTATTGCTCAGGTTCCCAGAGTAACAGAAACGCTCTCACCATGTTTGGCACCTACAGCACCATCCTCCAGCCCTGCTTCAGCACTGAAACCAGGGAGTTTCCACCATGTTACTAGGAGCAGGAATGGGTTCTCTCCAAGAGATCGCTGCAGTGGTCCACCATGCTCACAGACTTGTGTCTCATTCCCCATTATTTACCCCAAACCTGCCGTGCCCAGGTCCCATCCATCATTTCAGCCCTGTCCCCAGCGGGCAGGGGGAGCAGGTTTTTCCCTCCCTGCTGCAGACCCTGGATTACAACACAGAAATGCAGCGTGTGGCCTCAGGGTGCTGCTGGGACCTCTGCAGCGGCTGGGAGCTGAGCTTGAGCCAGACATGAAACTGCCATGGGTGTAATGACACTGCCCTGCTTGCCCTGCCACAGCCTGCTCGACCTCAGCCCCACTCCCTTGCACATCCCGTCCCTGTCCTCCCCCAGTACTGGCACTTGGAGCATCTGTCCCCAACATAAGAAGGACATGGAGCTGTTGGAGCGAGTCCAGAGAGGACACAAAGATGCTCCGAGGGCTGAAGCACCTCTGCTATGGAGACAGGCTGAGAGAGCTGGGCTTGTTCAGCCTGGAGAAGAGAAGGCTCCACAGAGACCTTAGAGCAGCTTCCAGTGCCTAAAGGGGCTGACAAGAAAGCTGGAGAGGGGCTTTTGACAAGGGCCTGTAGGGACAGGACAAGAGGGAATGGCTTTAACCTGACAGAGGGGAGATTGAGATGAGATCTGAGGCAGAAGTTCTTCCCTGTGAGGGTGCTGAGGCCCTGGCACAGGGTGCCCAGAGAAGCTGCGGCTGCCCCATCTCTGGCAGTGTTCAAGGCCAGGTTGGATGGGGCTTGGAACAGCCTGGTCTAGTGGAA